ACAATGATAGATAGTTTGTGGATAAGAAACTTGTTGCATTTTATAAAGGATTGGGAATCACTCATATTATGAGCTTGGTGGAGCATCCCCAAACGAACGGGCAGGCCGAAGTAGCGAACAAAATCATTGTTCAGGAGTTGAAGAAGCGGCTCAGGGAGGCAAAGGGGTCATGGGTGGATGAGCTTCAGTAGGTACAATGGGGTTACCGTTGTTCCCCGCACGACATGACCAGAGAGTCACCTTTTAATCTGACTTATGGGACAGATGCAATGTTTCCAGTTGAAGTAGGAGAGCCGACCGTGAGGAGCCAATAGGGGGATATGACTTTGAATGAAGAACAACTAAGGGCCAACTTAGATGTGCTACTAGAAAGAAGAGATGTGGCGGTCATGCGGACAAAAGCTCAAAAATGGTTTGTAGCATGAAGATATAACACTAAAGTTCGGCCAAGACAATTTGTTGAAGGTGACTTAGTATGGCGCAAAACAAATGACGCCCGGAAAAAGGCAACGCATGAAAAATTGGCATCCAATTCGGAAGGACCATTTAGAATCTAAGAAAGTTTAAACAATGGTGCATACCGACTGGAACAACCTACCAGGAAGGTCATACCTAATACATGGAACGCTTCCCATTTGAAACTTTATCTTAGCTAAGTCATTATTGTAAGGCTAAAGCAATGAATAATATCAAATGTTCCACCATTATTTCTTTTTCGACGAAAAGTTTACAAGCAACACAGGAAGTCAGAAAAATGACTCCTACCTCAAGCCACTCGGGGGGAAGTCAGAAAAATGACTTCAGAAATCCCCGCTCAACGCATGAAGTCAGAAAAATGACTCCTGCCTCAAGCTGGTCGGGGGGAAGTCATAAAATTGACTTCAAAATCCCCGCTCAACGCAGGAAGTCAGAAAAATGACTCCTACCTCAAGCCGCTCGGGGGGAAGTCAGAAAAATGACTTCAGAAATCCACGCTCAACGCAGGAATTCAGAAAAATGACTCCTACCTCCAACTGCTAGGGGTAAAATAAGAAAAATGACTTCAGAAATCCCCGCTCAACGCATGAAGTCATAAAAATGACTCCTGCCTCAAGCCCCTCGGGGGGAAATCACAAATATGACATCAAAAATCCGCGCTCATCGCAGAAAGTCAGAAAAATTACTCTTGCCTCAAGTTGCTCTGGGAGAAGTCAGAAAAATGACTTCAAAAATCCCCGCTCAACGCAGGAAGTCAGAAAAATGACTCCTACCTCAAGCCGCTCAGGGGAAGTCAGAAAAATGACTTCAGAAATTTCCGCTCAACGTAGGAAGTCAGAAAAATGACTCCTGCCTTAAGCCGCTTGGGGGGAAGTCAGAAAAATGACTCCTACCTCAAGCCGCTCGGGGGAAGTCAGAAAAATGACTTCAGAAATCCCCGCTCAACGCAGGAAGTCAGAAAAATGAGTCCTGCCTCAAGCTGGTCGGGGGGAAGTCATAAAAATGACTTCAAAATCCCCGCTCAATGCTGGAAGTCAGAAAAATGACTCCTGCCTCAAGCCGCTCGGGGGAAGTCAGAAAAATGACTTCAGAAATCCACGCTCAACACAAGAATTCAGAAAAATGACTCCTGCCTCCAGCTGCTAGGGGTAAAATAAGAAAAATGACTTCAGAAATCCCCGCTCAATGCAGGAAGTCATAAAAATGACTCCTGCCTCAAGCCCCTCGGGGGGAAGTCACAAAAATGACTTCAAAAATCCGCGCTCATCGCAGAAAGTAAGAAAAATTACTCTTCCCTCAAGCTGCTCAGGGGGAAGTCAGAAAAATGANTAAGCCAAACAGTTGGAAGCTTAGTTTAAGTCGGTAGAGTTGAATCATATTCCTCGGGAGGGAAAGGTTCAAGCAGATAGGCTATCCAAGCTGGCTAGCGGAAAAGAGAAGGGGCAATTGTCTTCAGTTATTAGTCAATTTCTAATGAAACCAACAATTGAATGCCTCCACGTGTTCAACACGGTCGGGCAAGCCGATTGGAGGAAGGAGGTTATCCAGCTGATTAAGGAGAAAGAGGAAGGGAAATTCCTTCAAGTTAAAGATGCAAAGAGGATTTCTAGATATCTCATTGTGGATGGAGATTTGTACAGAAGAGGCTACACCATGCCAATGATGAAGTGTTTGTCTGTGGAGGAGGCCGAGTATGTTATGAGGGAGTTGCACGAAGGGATTTGCGGCAGGCATACGGGCGGTCTAGCACTCAGAGCTCGAATGTTGAGGGCCAGATTTTTTTGGACAACAATTGAGAAAGACTTCTTTGATTTCACGCAAAAATGTATAAGTTTCCAAAAGCATGGTAATGTTTTCAACGCCCCCGCAACAGAGTTACATGGCATCGTGTCTCCTTGGTCGTTGGCCCAATGGGGAATGGATATTGTGGGACCCTTCCCCGTTGGTAGAGCGCAAAAGAAATTTTTTCTAGTGGCAATAGATTACTTTACTATGTAGGTGGAAGCTGAATCTCTTGCAAACATTTTTGCTGCAAAAGTTTAGAAGTTCGTTTGGAGGCTAATTTGTCGTTTTGGCCTGCCAAAAACAATTATCACTAACAATGATAGATAGTTTGTGGATAAGAAACTTGTTGCATTTTATAAAGGATTGGGAATCACTCATATTATGAGCTTGGTGGAGCATCCCCAAACGAACGGGCAGGCCGAAGTAGCGAACAAAATCATTGTTCAGGAGTTGAAGAAGCGGCTCAGGGAGGCAAAGGGGTCATGGGTGGATGAGCTTCAGTAGGTACAATGGGGTTACCGTTGTTCCCCGCACGACATGACCAGAGAGTCACCTTTTAATCTGACTTATGGGACAGATGCAATGTTTCCAGTTGAAGTAGGAGAGCCGACCGTGAGGAGCCAATAGGGGGATATGACTTTGAATGAAGAACAACTAAGGGCCAACTTAGATGTGCTACTAGAAAGAAGAGATGTGGCGGTCATGCGGACAAAAGCTCAAAAATGGTTTGTAGCATGAAGATATAACACTAAAGTTCGGCCAAGACAATTTGTTGAAGGTGACTTAGTATGGCGCAAAACAAATGACGCCCGGAAAAAGGCAACGCATGAAAAATTGGCATCCAATTCGGAAGGACCATTTAGAATCTAAGAAAGTTTAAACAATGGTGCATACCGACTGGAACAACCTACCAGGAAGGTCATACCTAATACATGGAACGCTTCCCATTTGAAACTTTATCTTAGCTAAGTCATTATTGTAAGGCTAAAGCAATGAATAATATCAAATGTTCCACCATTATTTCTTTTTCGACGAAAAGTTTACAAGCAACACAGGAAGTCAGAAAAATGACTCCTACCTCAAGCCACTCGGGGGGAAGTCAGAAAAATGACTTCAGAAATCCCCGCTCAACGCATGAAGTCAGAAAAATGACTCCTGCCTCAAGCTGGTCGGGGGGAAGTCATAAAATTGACTTCAAAATCCCCGCTCAACGCAGGAAGTCAGAAAAATGACTCCTACCTCAAGCCGCTCGGGGGGAAGTCAGAAAAATGACTTCAGAAATCCACGCTCAACGCAGGAATTCAGAAAAATGACTCCTACCTCCAACTGCTAGGGGTAAAATAAGAAAAATGACTTCAGAAATCCCCGCTCAACGCATGAAGTCATAAAAATGACTCCTGCCTCAAGCCCCTCGGGGGGAAATCACAAATATGACATCAAAAATCCGCGCTCATCGCAGAAAGTCAGAAAAATTACTCTTGCCTCAAGTTGCTCTGGGAGAAGTCAGAAAAATGACTTCAAAAATCCCCGCTCAACGCAGGAAGTCAGAAAAATGACTCCTACCTCAAGCCGCTCAGGGGAAGTCAGAAAAATGACTTCAGAAATTTCCGCTCAACGTAGGAAGTCAGAAAAATGACTCCTGCCTTAAGCCGCTTGGGGGGAAGTCAGAAAAATGACTCCTACCTCAAGCCGCTCGGGGGAAGTCAGAAAAATGACTTCAGAAATCCCCGCTCAACGCAGGAAGTCAGAAAAATGAGTCCTGCCTCAAGCTGGTCGGGGGGAAGTCATAAAAATGACTTCAAAATCCCCGCTCAATGCTGGAAGTCAGAAAAATGACTCCTGCCTCAAGCCGCTCGGGGGAAGTCAGAAAAATGACTTCAGAAATCCACGCTCAACACAAGAATTCAGAAAAATGACTCCTGCCTCCAGCTGCTAGGGGTAAAATAAGAAAAATGACTTCAGAAATCCCCGCTCAATGCAGGAAGTCATAAAAATGACTCCTGCCTCAAGCCCCTCGGGGGGAAGTCACAAAAATGACTTCAAAAATCCGCGCTCATCGCAGAAAGTAAGAAAAATTACTCTTCCCTCAAGCTGCTCAGGGGGAAGTCAGAAAAATGACTTCAGAAATCCCCGCTCAACGCAGGAAGTCAGAAAAA